CACAGCTGAGTTGTTCCCCTGCCCCTAAATCTCTCTGTCCCCGCTTCCTGTGCCAAACCCAACAGATGCTAGCATCCGTTCCCAGCCCTACGTCACCCTGTTGCGATGGTGTTGAGCAATTGTCTTTAAGTCATAGATGCCCTTGAGAGGAACTAAGTCATAGATGCCCTCTTCTAACCGTGTGTGCGCATGCACACCCAGATGTAACACACACACACACACCTTTTCTGCCTTTTGCACTATCACACCGAAAGCAGCCTTGCACCAATCCACAGCACAACCGTGTCTTTCACATTCACCTTTAAAAAAATGGTCAGATGCTTTCAAAAGCGGGGTTTGAAGTTCCGCGTTGACACTTCAAACAAACAAGCAGAGCCCAAGCATCCCTAAGCCTTTTTGCTCGATTCGTAAGGCACTGGCACTCACGCTCAGCTTGTGCAATTCAATAATTTTCACACGCCGACATCTCTTCTGCCGACACGTGCGCGCACGTGCGCACAGAGCTGTGTGCGTAATTGGCAAAGTGCCCGGGGGGGGGGGGAAGGAAGCGATTTCTGGGGCAGATTTTATTTTGCTTGGGAAGATTTTGCACTGGAAGGTTTTCCCCCCTCAGATTGGTCTAGCAGAGAGTTTGGAAAGACTGGATGTTCATGGCCGGGTCCCAAATGTTCTCGCTGGCAAACGCCACGTCCAACTTCCACACCCGACAGGCGAGTTTTTGGTGCTCCTGATGGGGCAGCGGATTTGCATACATGATTTGGGAGAAGGCTCTGCTCTGGGCCCCCCTCCCTTCCTCCTCCATTTTCCCCACAGCCAGGCAGGAGATGGGAGGGTGCAGACGACCTGGAACGCCTCTGTGAATTATTGTATGCAAATCACATACAAATGAAATCCTAAGTGCATTGCGGGATTAAACAAAAGCACGCGGGGCGGGGGAGGCGCGGAAGCCTGCTGCTTCGCACAGCCCAATCCTGCCGGCGCCCCCCCAACTCCGCCCACAGTTGCCCCTTCCAGGAAAAGCGCTATCCGAGGATCTGGCCCCTCCCAAGCACCGAGTGAATGCCGGATCTCGATGCACAGAAGCCCCCCCCCCACGTCTCTACCAGCCCACGTTGGGATCTGTCAAAAGCAACCTTTAGCACCCCCCCCGCCCCCCGGTTGTTAACATTTCTCTGATCAACCTGTTTTAGCAAATATTTGATGTCAGTGGTGACGGTGGCTGGAGAGGAGAGAGGTGGGGGAGGTTGGTGGCGGTGGGGGGGCAGATCTGGGTGAGGAGGGGTCTTGGGGAGATGTCTGTGGGCACTGAAGGGCATTAGCCGAAGTGCGGGAGGGGGAGGAGCGCCTTCTCTCCGCCCCCCCCCCCCCCCCCTGCGCAGGGTAATTTAAAGCGCTGCCTGTCACGGCGCTTCTCGTTTTATTGACTCTCGCCGCCTCCCCTGTCACCCCCCCGACATTAATCTCCCCGTTAATCGCCCTGCACGGAGCCCCCCCCCCTGCGCCTGCAGCCCCTTCGCCCCCTCCGGGGGGCCCCCCCCCCCCGCTTCTTTCTTTCTTTTTCCCGTGGCCCATCTTCTTGCACGGCCTCCCATCCCCCACCCCTCGCACTTTCCCTCCTTCTCTCTTTTGCTCTTGCTTCCTTTTCCAGCAAGTGGCTCCATTTGCGCCCAAATTTCCTCCTTTGTTTTCACCACCTTTCCTTCCTTCCTTCCTCCCTCCCTCGCAACCTCTCTCTCTGGGCCTTTCTCTCATCTCAGAGGTCTGTCCTCTTGGCTTCTTTGCCCCCTCCTCCTCTCTCCCTTCCCTTCCCTTCCCTTCCCACTTTCCCATCCATCCCACCCGTGTGTGTGTGTGTGTGTGTATGTGTGTGATTGTCTCTCTCTCTCTCTCTCTGCATCCCGGGTCTTTTCATCTCCTCCACCATCTCTCTTTCCCCGCTGCCTTTCCCTCCGTCATCTGTCACGCTTTGTCCTCTGCATCCCCTCCACTCCATCATGCCGGTTTGCCCCTTCCCCCCCACCCCCAATCCCATTTATCTTTCCCCCACACTCAGCATCACCTCCCCCCCCACACACACTTGGCTGAGGCCTGGCACACACTTGGCTTACCTGGAAGCAAGCCCCACAGAAATCCGTGGGATTTCCATCCAGGACAGCGCGTTTGGGGCCGTGTATCTTGCCCCCCCCCCCCCCGCCGGCTCCCCCATTTTCCCTTTACACGTCCTCCTCCCCCCCCTTCTCTGCATTGTGTCTCCCTCCTCCTTTGATTCCATCTCGTTTTCACTCCCTTGTTTCCTTCCTTCCCCTTCTTCCTAACCATCCACCCCCAACCCCTTTGTGTCTCTGGCTCTCTCATAATAAATATGCAGCAGCCATCTAATTATGTCTCCCGCCTCCTTTTCTCCTTAATGAGACAATTTGCATTGACTAACCACCCTCTGAAAGGGGGAGGGGACGAGAAAGGGGGGGAGGACAGGGGGGGGAGAGAGAGAGAGCACATTCGCCACCCCCCACCGCAACGCTGCCTTCTTTTCCACCGAGTGGAGGAATGAACAGAAAATATTAAATGTTAACAGGGTCTCTTTACTCCTGGGACACGACGATCATATTAAAGGGCTGAGTGTGCTTGTATAGGGGGGGGCGCCCAGGAGCTGTGGGTAGACAGTCGTGTGTGGGAAGGAGAGCGAAGTGGGGAGCGCTGGACACCTTGGCACGGACACCGCGCAGGCGAAGGCTAGTCCAGTGGCCACCCCACGGGCCATGTCCCCGCCCAGAACCCCCTGCAAGGGATCGAGGTCGGCCGCCTGCGAAGAAGAGGGGCCGAGAAAGCCCCTCTTCTCCCAGGCACCCGCTCTCACCCTCTCTGCTCCCCAGCGTCCTCTGGGAGGCCATGACAATGCCCACCCGCAGCTACCCCCTGCGACATGTCATCTCGGCGGCTTGCTCGCTTAATTTATTTATTGTTGTGCAGGACCGTTATGCCGCTGTAGGAGGGATGAACCATGGCCATAACCGAGCATCAAAATGTGGAAGTGGGGCTCGAGACCTGGGTGCCCCGGCCTGGTCCTGCAAGGGGCGAGCAGCAGGGACAGGGCCTCCGATACTGAGAAGGGAAAGTTCTGGCAAGGTGTGTTACATTGCAGTAATCTAGTCCCAAGTTTCCACGCTGCCTGGGGAGCATCCGGGAAGCGGAGGGAAGCACATGAGCTGGGGAGTGTAGCTGCACACCTGGACCAGCCCTTCCTTGGAAGGAACCCCGGTCGTGTGGATCTACTGCGATGTTCTCCCAGACAGGCCGGTGAAGGACGCAAGAAGTTAGAAGGAAATAAAAAGCATTGGTGGTCGGATTCAGGAGTGGACCGTATGGTTTTGTGGCAGGGAGAAGGCCGGTATTTCTTGAAGGCAGGTTGGTCAAGGGAGCACGTGGCCATGTTGAGAAAGTGGCATAGGCAGAGTTGCTGAAATGCAGCAGGCAGGAAGCTGAGGACCAAGCAGGTTTGTTACACACAGTATACCATTAATCTGTGGAACTGACTGCCACAGGATTCTGCTGGCAGCTCTCACTGACCCACCACAGGGGAATGGTGAAGATGTGATGACTGATTGACCATTGCACCTAAGAGGCAGGAGAGGCCATCCCCTTTTCCAAAACGTGGACCCCACCCCGCCTTTTCCAAATTTGGCTGGCTGTAAGATGGGACACTCGACTGCTGTGCTTATTGGTTACTGGACATCATTTCTACATTGTTATGCTTTGGGAAAGGATGGAGAGGGGAAAGAACTCAGGGAAGAGCAGGGGGAGAAACGGACGAGTGGATCAGTCGGTGAAGAAGTCGGGGTGGAAAGTGCAGGGCAGAAATCTAGGACAGCGTTTTGCAAAGCAAAGATGGCGAAAAAGCCACGGAAGAGAATGCAGGAAAGGTTTAGGTCTGCACCTAGCTAAGTGGGCTGGTCTTCCAGGCAGGCTTGGGGCAGGCCTGAGATTCAGGGGCGCAAGGCTGCAAGAAGCAGTGTTGCCCACAGAGTCCTGGCTCAGCCGCAGGCCAGCGCGGAGCATCTCCTGGAAAGGGGCACAACACGTGCGTTAAATTTAAAACTGCAACATTCTTCCAGAGTGAACCCAACACAGCCCCCAGTGCACAGGAGGTTCTCTGTGGCATGGAGGAAGAGGCACTCTGCACATGTTCAGGGACACTCCGGCTGTACTGAGTGCCACATGAAAGTGGGTGGAAGAAAGTGCAGCTTGTGAACCAAGATGGAGGGAAAAGTAGGGAGGTGTGTGGAAGTGCTGAAGGGTGTGGTAGGGGAAAGACGTCCACTGTAGGATTTGGCTGGCCCGTTCCCCATCCCCTCCCCTCCCCCTTTATCCACTGCTGGCCTGATTTGCCTTGCAAATCCTTCCCCACCCCAGAGAAAGGAGGTGTGCCCGATTCCCATGTTTCCTAGGCAGGCTGGTGCGAAAGCTCTCGATGGAAAATTACTGTCTTTTGAGGCGACACCAACTTGAGAATTTCTGCATGCACACACGGTGCCGAGCATTCCCCCTTCTGCTGGGATTTCTCTGCCGTGGTGTCTTCGCACGGGCAAGGTGTCCCCAGATGCTATGGACTAGCGGTGAACCGTTTGTGTGGACTGCCGCATGTGTGAACCGACTTCTCGGGCGCTCACCCCCCGCCCTGCCATCTCGGTATTTCACCCAGAGCGCTTAACAGGCGTGACGTAGAGCGAGGGTGTTGAACCCACTTCAGCCTGTGGGCCAGAAGCATTTCCGGAGTTCTCAGGGGCAGCGTTTCAAGGAGTGGGCGGAGCCAGAGGCACAAGGGGGAGGAGCCAGAGGCAGTGGGGCGAGATTCAGCATATTTTAGCCCGAAGTGCTCCTTTCCACTCTGAGGGGGGCATGGCATGAATTTGGGCAGTGGAGAGAAGGGGGGGGGCAGGGAAAGATGACGGTGCTCCGAGGGCTGCACTTGGCCCCGGGTCTGCCATCCCGTGCCCCCGTAACAAGGAATCACACGTGCCTATTCTCGCCCCGGAAAAGAAGGGGAGCGCAGCCATTCACACCTGCCCGTGTTCTGTTTCCTTGCAGGGTCTCGGCTCCTGTGCTGAGATGCCCCCTCCGTGCCCCTCGGGCCCGCACCGCCATGGACGCCCCCTCTAACTCTGCCTCCTCCTCCTCCTGCTCCCCTGCTGCTGCGCCCCCGGCCGATGGGCAGGATGACAGGGTCGCGGTCCGGCCCCCTCAGGGCTCTCCTGCCTCTCCAGCCACCAAAGAAACCCCCCTCTCGGACCCTCCCTCCTCCGCCTCCTCTTCTCCGGATGAACTCATGAGGCCCGGCTCCCAAGCAGCGCCCGGCTCCGCGAAGCTCTCGGCGGCTGTCTCGTCCACGCTGCCACAGGCAGGCGGTGGCCCAGGAACGCCGAGCCCGTCGCCCGGCCCTCCGACGACGATCCCCGCCGAAGATGGGGCCAAGCGAGAAGCGGGCGGAGAGGAGGAAGAGGACGGCGGCCGCGAGGCCCAGCTCTTCTTCTCTGCCGACGGCTCGGCCTATCTCCTCAGCAGCGGCCACGTTCTCTTACCAAAGGGCTCCCCAAGCACCGCAGCTCCCCTGGTGTCCATCCTCCACGTCTCAAGCGGTGGAGGGCCCAGCCAAGGCTTTACGTCTACTGACCAAATGTCCCAGAATACCTCAGCGCCAGGCGAGTGGACTCCTCGCGGCGCCTTCAACAGTTACCGACTGGCCGGGGCCCCCGCGCGAACCACGTCTGCCAAAAACTCTCCCACCAAACCCAAAGACGCCCCCGCCGCCTGTGTGGAAGATGAGGAAGACTCCAAAGGGGAAGCCAGCCCTGGCCGAGAGGAGCTGCCTGGGCCGCCCGTCTGGCTCTGCCTCACATGCCGCCTCTCCTTCTGCCGGGGCCGGGCGCTGGCATCGCACGCCTGTGCCGCCCACGGGGCACAGCTGAGCACCAACCAAGGCCAGGCCCTGACCAGAGGGGCTCCCGCCGTGTTCCAGGGTACCACGCTTGGCTTCCTAGAACCAAATAACCCCACCAAGGCCGACCTCAGTGCCGGAATGTGTAGCAGATGGGTGAATGTAACAGGGGAGGGGGAGGAGGAGGAGGAGGAGGAGGAGGAAGCGCAGGGGAGCTCCGAAAGACAATGCGAGCCGCCCAATGCCAAAGAGTCGAGGGTCGGCAGCACACGCTGGGTCAAGGGGGACACGGAGGACCACCCAGAAGAAGAGGAGGAGGAGGAGGAGGAGGAAGCAGCAGCAGCAGCAGCAGCAGCTGAAAACCAGAGAGAGGAGGGAAGGCTTCCCCCAGACCAAAGTTCAAACGGCCAAAGCCCCCCCATGGGTGCCAACACCCCCTTCTCAGAGACACAGCCGATGAAAGCGGGCGGCGGCAACGTGGAGGTTACCGTCGGGTTGCCCAAGGAAGACGTACACGCGGAGTTGGCCGGCAAAGCCGCCGGGTCGGCCGGCAACACGGTTAACGCACAACTGGCCCACGAGGCCGCTCCGGCCGAACTCGCCGGGGAGACGGACGCCGCTGGACTGGCCGCCAAAGCCCACGGGGACCAGCTGGCGAACGATGCAGACGGCGCCAGCCCGGCCCACGGCGGCGGGCCTGTGGGGCCGGCCGGCGACCTCGCGGGCCTCGGGTTCGAGCTCGGCGCCGGGGTCGGCAGCCACAACGGAGGGGCCGCCCTGAGCTTCGGGGAGGACTTTGCCGCCATGGCCTACTCAGGGCTGACCCTGTCCGGACACATGTCCCTGCTGCACTCGCGCAACTCCTGCAAGACGCTGAAATGCCCCAAGTGCAACTGGCACTACAAGTACCAGCAGACGCTGGACGTGCACATGAAGGAGAAGCACCCGGAGAACAACAGCCACTGCGCCTACTGCAGCACCGGGGGGCCGCACCCCCGCCTGGCCCGGGGCGAGAGCTACAACTGCGGCTACAAGCCCTACCGCTGCGAGGCCTGCAACTACTCCACCACCACCAAGGGCAACCTCAGCATCCACATGCAGTCCGACAAGCACCTGGCCAACCTGCAGGGCTACCAGGGCCCCGGGAGCGGCGGGGCCCCCCCGGGGGCGCCCCCGGGGGCGCCCCCCCCGTCCCCGCCCGAGGAGAAGGAGCCGAAGGGCAAGTCCTCGTGGCAGTGCAAGGTGTGCAGCTACGAGACCAACATCTCCCGCAACCTGCGCATCCACATGACGTCCGAGAAGCACATGCAGAACGTGCTGCTGCTCCACCAGGGGCTGCCCCTGGCGCTGCCGGGGTTGCTGGGGCAGCCGCAGGCCCCACCGGGGGGCAAGCCCCCCCCGGAGCTCTTCCAGTTCTACGGGGCGCAGGCCCTCGGCCACCCCCACCACCCGCACCCCCACCACGCGCACCCCGGAGCCAGCCCAGCCCTGCGGGGGGACAAGCCCCCGGAGCCGGCGCAGCTCCTGCTCAACGGAGGCTTCCCGCACCTCAGCGCCACTGGCCGCAAGATGGCCGCCCTGGGGTCAGGTAAGGGCTGGGAACCGCAGGGTGCGCCGCCGGGCCGGGGGGGCCGCCGTGCTCTTGGCTCACTCGCTTCTCCCCTCCCGCTCCCTGCAGGCCCCGCTTCTCTCTCCCCGGAGCCGGCCCCACCCTCCCCGCTGCCGCCCCATCCTGGATCGGACCCGGCGGCCCCCCAGAGGCTCTTTGGCTGCCTGGTGTGCCAGGCGTTCGGCACCGACAGCCTGGAGGCCCTGCTGAGGCACGCCTCGGCCCCCCGCTCGCTGCCCGAGGCGGAGTGGAAGGAGGTCTCGGGCGACCTGCACCGGTGCCGGCTCTGCGCGTACGGCACGCAGCTGAAGGCCAACTTCCAGCTGCACCTCAAGACCGACAAGCACGCCCTGAAGTACCAGCTGGCGGCCCACCTGCGCGAGGGGGGTGGCCTGGGGGCCCACGTGGGGGCCGAGCTTCCCCTCGGGCCTCCCCTGCACCTGCACTGCAACATCTGCGAATTCGAGACCAACAGCAAGGAGAAAATGCGACTGCACGTGGCGGGGGCCACCCACCAGGAGGCCCTGCAAGGGTACAAGGTACGGAGCGGCTGCGGAAGGGGGCAGAGGCGAGTGGGTGGGCGGGATGGAGGGATGGGGAAGAGGGCCCTGGAAGGAAGCCCCAAGCCCTGTGCCGCAGAGCTGAAAGGCCGTGGACAGGAAGGGGTGTTCTGAGCAGCGGGCAGGTATTGAAGCGGGGGTGCCGGAGGGCCCCGTGCACAGGCGGGGCCACCTGGGCAGCTGGGTGCTGGCAGAGGATCTGCCAGTGTCCCGCCACCCTCTGCCTCTCTCCCCGCAGTTCCTCCTGGAAATGGAGGCCGCCTCGGCAGCCGGCCCCGAAGCCGCCCCCTTCCGCTGCCTCCTGTGCAGCACGGACACGGCGAACCGCCTGGGCATGCTCCAGCACCTCCGCTCCCCGCAGCACCGGGACGCCCACGGCCAGTGGCGCCTGCAGCTCCTCCAGAACGGGGAAGGCACGCCAGGCCTGGAGAGATACATCTGCTTCGCTCCCGCCAACCCTGCCGGTAGAGGCCTCGCGGATCGGGCCACGTGTGAGCAGCGCGCGGGGGGGGGAGGCTGCGGGTCGTGGATCTGCACCGAGGGGAGGAGGGGGGCCTCGGGGTGGCGGCAGGGGAAAAGGGGGTGCAGGGAGGCCGCTTTGCTGTGCAGGGGGGCCAGAAAGGGGTGCCCCCCCATGCCCCCACCCTCCCGAGGGCTGGCCGCCCCCCTGCCTGCGTGTGCAGATAGCAACGCGCGAAGCGGCTGTGCACTCGGCCCTCCTCTCCTGCAACCGCTACCACCAACCTCCCTCCCTCCCTCCCAGCCCCCCCCCTTCATAATGGATTATGACAGATACTGGGGTGGTTGCCTAGCAACGTGCAAGAAGAAGAGAAATGAGAAAGAGAGATGTAGGGTCCACAGCTGGGGCGGGGGGGGGGGGGGGGGGAGGGGGGGGGAAAAAAATTTCTCTCTTTTGCTCCCCCCCCACTCGGTCGGTCGCCGCCTCCCCATCTCCCCTCTGATCTGCCTGGGGGGCGGACCCTGTCCGAGGGATGCCAGTTGGCTCGGTTCCCAGCCACAATTCATCTTCCCAAGCACCCCTGGCCCTGCATCCCTACCTGTGCGCTGATGTCAAGATGGATCGGTGTTATTAGGATAAAAATGATGAAAGGGGGCCCGGGGGGAGAGACCGGTGTGTGGCTTTTGTAGGGCCGACGGGAGGCAAGGATGCTTGGGGTGGGGGGGTGGCGGCGAGAGGTGGAGATTTGTGGACGGTGCTCTGGGTACGGGGAAAGTGCCGTGCCTCCAGCTCAAGGGAGGCCAGGCGTGGATGAGAGGGAATTTGGGTGGGCCCTGGTGGAGGCACGGATAGATTGGCGGGGGGGAGAGGGCTCCCGAGGGCAAGAATTGGGGGGGCAGCCCGAGTTGGAGGGGGTGCTTGCGTGGGTGCACGTGGGGGGCGCCTCCACAGTGAGAAACGGAGGTCTTCGCATCTTGGCGGGTGTATTGAATAGTGTTAATTGAGTTACCAATGGCACAGAGGTTGCTTCTACCAGGCACGGAGGCAAGCCCGCTCGATATTAACGATCCCACTTGGGTTGAGAGTTTAATTAGTCTCTGACGAGGAAAAAGTCCTGAATGGTGCGTCATCCTGACTCCTCACGTCGATGGTGGGATTCCCTCCCCCCCCCCACCCTTCGATCTTTCGCTGTGTGTGTTTTTCGCTTTCCCGCCTTTCCAGACTCCCAAACGAGGAGGAGAGGTGGAAAAATAAGGAAGGGGCCACCTGTGGAAGGGAACCAGCTCCCCCATTTCACTCTCTCCCCTTTGGTCCCCTTCTCAGCTCCAGGGAAGGAATCCATGCCAGAGACCCCATCCCCTGAGAAAGAAATGCTAAATAAAGCCCAGACATCAGGTGAGTGTGTCCCCATCTTTCACAAACCGTGTCTCCTTGCCAGTCGCTCCTCCTTGCCCTGCAGGTTAAGAACCTAGGAAAAGCCACGCTGGATTGGACCGATGGTCCGCTGGGAACACACGGTAGCCAACCAGCTCCGCACTGAATCCCCCGAGCGGGACAGGTGCAAAACCTCCACCCGCCCGAGCTCCTCGGCGACGGGTGTGAGCAGGCCGGCCAACCGCTGGGGAAGGAAGCATCACACAGCCAGCAAGGCTGGCCGCCACCGATCACCTCCTGCTCCACAAACTCTCCCTCCAGAAAAGGGCTCGCCACACCTGTAATGACTCCTCCTCATAGTCTGTATCCCTCTCTCAGCCTCCCAACTCCATTCCGAGGAGCATCCAGACAGGCAGCTCCCGGCAAAGGTGCATGGGTTACGCCCTACTCTAGCCCACAGGTTGGACAGATCCTGTAGAGGGGGAGCCCCTCCCCATTCCCCCAATTTTGAAACGGCCTGCTTCTCGAGGGTGTGCAGAGGGGTTCCAGGCCAAACGGGGGTCGCCCAGTGCCGGGCTGGTTGCAGTGGGGAGAGCTTTCCTGGGATGCTGAATGCTCCCCTCGCGCAGCCTTGCTCGTCTCCTCTGGTGCCCGCAAAGCCACCCTAAACCGTCACATTTCCGAAGCTTGTGCAGGAGATTCAGTGACTCTCTCCTGTCCTCCCTTTCCCCTTCCTTTTGCAGGTTCTGATGAGACTGAAACAAAAGCCGGAGGTGTGGGCGATACGACGGTGAGTGCGGCTGCTGACTGCGTGCGGAGTGGGTGTGGGGGACGGTGGCGGAGGAAATCGGCGGAAACGGAAAGGGGCTCGCTTCCAGATTTCCCCCTCTGGAGCATCTCTTTTCCCTGCCTTCTCGGGGGACACTCAGACCCTTTTCCCACCGCTTGTCTCTGCACATTTCCAGCCATGATTCCCCCCCGGTGGATTCCAAAAATGACTCAGTTAAAACCGAAATCGAATGTCTTGGTTGGTGGGGTGAGGACGAGATCCATCCGCACAAGCCACAAATGGGAACTTAGCAGTGCTTCGCCGCAAGTCACTTACACGGGGATTGCTCTCCTGCTAGAATTTAAAACCTTATTCGGTCCAGTAATACGTTCCAGGGATTTCACAAGCCACATTTAAGCCTCTGTTTCTGCCTACTCTGGCTTCACCCTGGCGTTGCTCAGAAGGGCTACTGATTGTAGCAACAGAAAGAGAAATGCCAGAATTACCCCGAGCAACAGCCCTGTAAGGTAGGCCGGTGCTGTGGCAACGCTCCCACTGGGGAACGGCTTCAAGCCTCCATCAGTCCAGGGAAGGCTCAGAACCCATGGGGCCTTTTGGCCCAGTCCAGCCTTCCTCCTCTGCATCTCGCGTTCCTAAGAGCAGGAAAGAGTGCACTACCTACTTGGTCCTGAGATGACCTTCGGCCAGATGCGGTCTCAGCAGATCAGGCTGCTGAAGCTGGGGATGCCCTTCTCTTGGCCACTGGGGGCAGCAGCCTGCTTGTTTGTATGGAAGGAAGGAGGAGGAAGGACAGAAGAAGCCAAAGAGCAGCCTGTGGAAAGGAGGTGGCGTGGCGTGGCGTGCCATGACAAGCAGGACGTTTTCTGAAGGAAGGGAGTGGGGCTGGGAGACGCCAGCTCTGCCTCTTTTTTTCCATTCACAATCTTTCCTTGCCACCCCGCAACCCTTTGCTCAGCGTGGCTCAAAGTCCTCGCAGGTGCATAACGAAAGGCCCCATGACAAGGGCCCACGACGATCCTTGCAGCGGCTCTTCCCTCCCCGGGTCTTGGAAGGGGTGCCTCACCGAAGCCTCCGCCCCGGAGCCCGCCCTGCCCTGCCCTGCCCTCGCCTCACCTTCCTCTCCTGCACTCCAGGTGGTCTGCTGCCCCTTCTGCAACTACGTGGACCCGTCCGCAGAAGCCGTGCGGGCTCACACCTTTTCCCAGCATGCCGTGCAGCCCAAGTTCCGCTGCCCGCTGTGCCAGGAGCAGCTCATGGGCCGCGCCAACCTCCGCTTCCACCTCAGCCACATCCACAACGTGGTACCCGAATGCGTGGAGAAGCTTCTTCTGGTGGTGAGTGGCACTGTTTCTTCTGCTTCCTCAATGCGGGGGCCGCGGGTGGGAGGGGGCCATCTCCTCGTCTCTCTTCCAGCTGGGCTGCTTCCCTGTGTTTAAGAGTGCAGAGCAGGCTGTCATTCCACAGGGGAAGCTTCCGGTACGGGGAGAGGGAACCCCTTACCCAGAGCTTGTCCTTCTTGGGTGGCTGTTTAAAGGGAAGGGTCCCGCCAGAGGAAAAGGGGGCAAGATGGGTGAAGACCGTCCGATGCTGCGTAGAGTCCGGATGAGCCACTACACCGGGGCGGCGTAGTGTTGGCGGGATTACGGATGCGGCCGGCTTCAGCCTGAGTTTCCCTGGAGTTGGAGCAAACGTTGCCCAACCTGCCGCATCCCAGGGATATGGACTGCACCCCCCATCTGGGACCACAGGACAACAGAGTGGGGAAACTGCCACAAATTATCGTATTTGCAATGTGCCGTCCAGTCGTCTGACTCGTGGTGACCCAGGGAACGGAAGCCCTGCAGGATCTCTTAGGCAGGGCGGCCCTGCTCAGCCCTTGCCCATTCAAGGCTGGGCCTCCTTCACGGAGTCCGCCCTTCTCATGGTGGGATACGTATCTCAGAGAGAGAGAGAGAGTTGGTGCTTCTGGCGTTCTCCCTTGCCTCTTCCCTACTTGTTCTTCCTCAGGCCACCACGGTGGAGATGACGTTTGCCACCAAAGTTGTTCCTGGCCACAGTCCCCCTCCCGACCCACCCAAGCCAAGTGGGGCCTCCAGCACAGAGCAAGGGGCCGGAAATGGACCTACAAGTCCCCTCGTTGGTAAGTCGCATTCTGCAATCCGTGCTTTGCCTGGCTGAGCCATCTGTTCCCTTGGCCTCCACTTCCTTTACCAGCACCCTGGTCAGAGGAAAGGAAAACTGCTGCAGACTGACCAGTAGCACCTGTTGGGTGCTTCTTCGCAGTGTGAATTCTAGCGCTTCCCTTATGGAAGCCATGAGGACTAGAAACATAACTCGCTCTATGACAGCGAAGTCTACATTTGACCAGGAAATGAGTCTGGGGTGCTTCTGGGGATCCCCAGCTGCCTTTGGACACACCCTTTCGGAGAGCCCTGTGGCTCAAGGTCACAGGTGTGAACCCTGAACCTGCACACACATTTACACCAATGCAGAACACTTTCTAGTAAAGGCGATTTGGCTAAGGCGTGCGTTCAGGCGGAGCGGAGCAGTGCGGGGAGGCACTGAGAGTGACTCTGATCTCTGTCTCTGCCTTCTTCCCTTGCCAGCAGCGACCACAGGGGAGAAAGCGCCCCCAACTCCTGCGCTTTGCCCCGGAACACCGCTGCCTGCTGCGCCCGCCTCCCCAGACCCACCTGCTCCTGCCAAGCCACTGGAGAAGCACCCTCCCACATCTGCGACTCCTCCTGTGCCTCCTCTTCCTCCTCCTCCTCCTCCTCCACCTGCACAGGAGTCCGAAGAGGAAGACCCTCCGAGACCAAACGCTCCCACCGACGAGCCACCGCCGCTCTCGCATCTCCCCGCCGAGCCCCCCGAGGCCTCCCCTCTGGCCCCCCCCAGCCAAGACCCACGACACCCCCTCTCCTACCGCAAGGCAACCAATTTTGCCTTGGATAAGTTCCTGGACCCGGCCAGGCCGTACAAGTGCACCGTCTGCAAGGAATCCTTCACCCAGAAGAACATCCTGCTGGTGCACTACAACTCCGTCTCCCACCTCCACAAGATGAAGAAGGCCTCGGCCGACCCCTCGGTGCCATCGCGGGGCGAGTCGGGCGCCCCGGGGGCCCTGCAGCCGTCCTCGGACAAGCCCTACAAGTGCACCACCTGCCGCGTCTCGTACAACCAGAGCTCCACCCTGGAGATCCACATGCGCTCCGTCCTGCACCAGACCCGCTCCCGGGTGGCCAAGATGGAGGCCGCCGGCAAGGCGGAGCTGCCGCCCGCCGAGGCCGAGCACCCCGGCGAGGCCTCGCTGGAGGCGGAGGCCCCCGGCTGCGTGCAGGTGCCGGCCCTCCCCTTCCTGGCGCCCCCCGCCGCCGAGCTGCAGCGCTTCCCCGCCCCGCTGTTCACGCCGCCGCTGCTGCCCCCCTTCCCGCTGGTCCCGGAGTCCCTCCTGAAGCTGCAGCAGCAGCAGCAGCAGCTGCTGCTCCCGTTCTACCTGCACGATCTCAAGGTGGCCCCCAAGCTGGCGCTGGCGGCCCCCGCCCTGACCCTGCCCACCACCCCGCCGGTGCTCCTGCCCCCCCTGCCGCCCAAGGAGGAGCACCCCCCGCCGGCGGGCGGCAGCTCCGGCAAGCCCGAGCCGCCCGAGGAGGCCGAGGCCGAGGAGGCCGAGGGCAACCCGCCGGGGAGCGAGGCCTCCCGCACGGCGGCCAGGGCCCTGCTGGAGAACTTTGGCTTCGAGCTGGTGATCCAGTACAACGAGGGCAAGCAGCCCTCGGCCGCCGCCCCGGCGGTGCCCCCCCGCCCCCCCGCGGGCAAGCTGCAGTGCGGCTCGTGCGGCAAGCAGTTCTCCAACATGCTCATCCTGAAGACCCACGAGGAGCACGTGCACCGGCGGTTCCTGCCCTTCGAGGCCCTCAGCCGCTACGCCGCGCAGTTCCGGAAGAGCTACGACAGCATGTACCCCCCGCCCCCGGCCACGCTGCCGGTGGAGAGCCCGGCCGCCCCCACCGCCGCCCCCAGTGTGGTGGAGACCAGCTCCGTCCCCGTGGCGCCCGCCCCCGTGCCCCTGGAGATGCCCCCGCTCTGCCCGCCATTTCTGATGCAGCCCCTGCCCGTGGTGGTGCCGCCCCCGGAGAGCGAGGCGGCCCGCGTGTCCCCTGAGCGCCTGAAGTCGCTGTGGTTTCGGGGCGAGGATGAGGACGGCGGCCCCGGAGGGCTGGACGCCCCCCGGGGGAGCTTCCCCAGCACCCGGCGCTTCTCCCGCACCAAGTTCACCGAGTTCCAGTCCCAGGCCCTGCAGTCCTTCTTCGAGTCCAGCGCCTACCCCAAAGACGGCGAGGTCGAGCGGCTGTCGCAGCTCCTGGGCCTGCCCAACAGGGTCATCGTGGTCTGGTTCCAAAACGCCCGCCAGAAGGCCCGCAAGTGCGGGGGCAGCGACGCCAGCGTGGGCAGCGGCCACCCGGCCGTGCAGCCCGCCTGCAAGAAGTGCCCGGCGGCCTTCCGCTGCATCTTCGAGCTGGTCCGCCACCTCAAGAAGTGCTACAACGACCAGCCCGAGGAAGGGGAGGGCGACGGCGCCGAGGAGGAGAACGAGGCCCCCGAGGAAGAGGAGCAGGAGGAGGAGGAGGAGGACGAGCCGCAGGGGGCGGCGGGCGCCGATGGGGAAGCGAAGGCAGAGGCTGCCGGGGAGAAGGCCCTGGAGGAGGAGGCGCCCGTCGCCCCGGCGGAGGGATCCGGCGGCCACCCCTGCGACCAGTGCACCAGCAAGTTCTCCAGCGCGGAGCTCCTCGGCATCCACCGGGCCAGCCACGCGCCAGGCGCCGGCCCTCCGCCGGCGGCCGCGGCCCCCCAGCCCGCCCTGGAGCTAGGGCCCTTGGCATTTGGCGAGCGCGCCCCCCACCCGGATGCTTCCCGGGCGCCGAAGCGGAAGCACGACGACGGGAGCCTGTCGCCCACGGGGAGCGAGTGCGCCAGCGTGGCTGGGGGGGACGGCGAGCCCCCCCGGGACAAGCGCCTGCGCACGACCATCTTGCCCGAGCAGCTGGAGATACTGTACCGCTGGTACATGCAGGACTCCAACCCGACCCGGAAAATGCTGGACTGCATCTCCGAGGAAGTCGGGCTCAAGAAGAGGGTGGTGCAGGTCTGGTTCCAGAACACCAGAGCCCGGGAGAGGAAGGGCCAGTTCCGGTGCAACTCCGGCACCGCCAACCCGGGGAGCAAGCTCCCGCCGGTGCTCCCCACCGCCTTCCCCAAATTCAACCCTCCGCCACGTGACCCTCCCGTCCATTACGGGGCTTCCTTTACCGCCAGCCTCCCCACAGTGAGCCTGCCGCCACCGCCGGCAAAGCCAGAGGCTCCCCTTGAGCCCCAGATGCAGGAAGAGATGGCCGAAGAGGAGGCGCACAAGGAGAACGAGGAGCGGAGCCTGTCCGGAGGGGAGCTGAGCGACTCCTCGTCTTCCTCCTCCTCGCTGGCCGATCTGGACTTCTCCGGCAGCCGCCGGAGCCGGGCCGCAGATGGCGGGCCCGCGGGCTCGCACGACTCCCTCGGCCAGCGGCGCTACCGCACCCAGATGTCCAGCCTGCAGCTGAAGATCATGAAGGCCTGCTACGAGGCCTACCGCACGCCCACCATGCAGGAGTGCGAGGTCCTGGGGGAGGAGATCGGGCTGCCCAAGCGCGTGATCCAGGTGTGGTTCCAGAACGCGCGGGCCAAGGAGAAGAAGGCGAAGGCGGCCAGCAGCGGGGCCGGCAGCGGCGGGGACGAGGGCCCCCCCGGCGCCAAGGCGCAGACTGAGTGCCCCTACTGTGAGGTCAAGTACGATTTCTACGTGTCCTGCCGCGGACACCTCTTCTCCCACGGCCACCTGGCCCGACTCAAGGAGGCGATCAAAGCCCAGCTCAAGAGCGAGAGCAAGTGCTACGAGCTGGTGCCCGATAAAGGGACCCCCTCCCCGACCAGGCTGGGGGCGCCGGGGCCTCCCCCCACCGCGCCGCCGTCGTCGCTTGGGAGCATGCCCCCCTTTGTGCCAGGTGAGTGGCTGGTCAAGAGGTAAGGTACGTCACCTCCGGGGCTCAGCCTGGCTTCGGCTCAGCTTACTCAGGGCTGCTGACGAGCTCCTGCTTAACTCCCGCCAGAGGACCGTCTCCTCCCCGAAAGTTTTCACCGGCTCCCCAACTCCCTTGCCCACCGCCCCAAAACAGTTGTCTGGGCAACCTGCTCGTGTCCTCGCTATTCCAAGCAGCACCCCGTTTGGCACGTGGGTCCTTGCCTCCCGTCTTCACCCTCACGTGGGAACCTCTCCTTCCACCCCGTTCCTGAGACTTCTGCTGCATATTTTGGATGGCAGGAGCCTCTTTGCACAAAAAGTGGGCCGGGACCACCCCCCGCCCCCCCCTGCAGACGGGCTCCGTTTTCAGGCAGGGGAAGTAGCGGGAGGCCCACCAGCCTCTTAACATGCCCCCCTTCACCATTCATGGAGGGAAAGGATGAAGGGAGGGAGGGAGGGAGGGAGGGAAACCTTGAGGGGGTGGGAAGCCATGCCGGCGGGCGGGCAGCTGACCCAGCCCCTCACAGCTCTTTTCTGTCGCCCGCGCAGGCCCTTCCTCCTCCTCCTCCTCCTCGGGGGCCCTGAGCTCGTCGCTGGCATCCACCCAGCCAGGGCCCTCTTTACCTCAGCGCCTCACGCCGGAACCGGCCCAGCTCGGCCCCTCCACAGAGCCCGCGCCTGCTCCAGAGACCTCCCCGAGCGACGGCCAGGCGGACCCCGCCTCGAACTCCGTGCAGGAGCCCTCCTTGTCCTCCACCGCCACGCTGAAGAGCCTCAAGACGCTGAAGGCCGCCGTGCCGGCCCTGCTGGGCGGCCAGTTCCTGCCCTTCCCCTTGCCCGCGGCGGCCGCGGCGGCCGCCCCCTCGCTCTTCGGGGCCCAGCTGCCCGGGGCCTACTTCCAGCAGCTCTACGGCATGAAGAAGGGGCTGTTCCCCATGAACCCCGTCATACCTCAGACACTTATGGGGCTGCTGCCCAGCCCGCTGCTCCCCACACCCACGCCCGAGCCGCCCGTCGAGGTGCCCGAGGCGCCCGGCATCTCGACAGTTGACGTGACTCACCAGTACCTGTGCCGCCAGTGCAAGGCGGCCTTCGAGAGCGAGGGGGCGGCCGCCGCCCACCAGGCCGCTTTCTGCTACTTCGGGCGCCAGCCCCCCGCGGCCCCCGCCCCGCTGCGGGTGCCCGTGTGCACCTACCACTGCCTGGCCTGCGAGGTGCTCGTCAGCGGGCGCGAGGCGCTGGGGGCCCACCTGCGCTCCAGCGCCCACCGGCGCAAGGCCGGCTCCAACGCAGCAACCGCATCGGTGTTTGCCAAAGAGGAATCCAAATTACCTCACTCGGACTCCAACCCAAAAAGTAATGCTACCTCTACAACACTTCTAGCTTTATAGAGACGGATGCTACACTGCCACCGGTCGAGAGAGAAAATGGCCGACGAACCAGCCAGCAGAGGGATGGGCGCCCGCTCGGGGACCCCCTCGGCCCGTCCCGTCCCACCCCGCCACCCCACCCTTCCCTGGTGCCAGTGAGGGACGTGATCTGTAGACACGCGAGATGGCTGCCTGACCGAGCCCAGGGCCCTCCCAGGATTCCCACCACAAAGCCCATCCATCCGGGGGAGACCCAGCTGAGCCGAGCTTAGTCTCGCAGAAATCCCGCCCGCCCGCCCGTTGGGAAGGCCCTGGAGCCCTCCACCTGGCGTGGCTCTCTCCAGAAGGGTCCCCTGGCAATGCCATAATCCTAGTTGGAGTGGCTGTGTGCTCCTGGGGATTATGAGAATTTCAGGCCAGGACGCCTGGGGGGAGCCAGGCTGGGAAGGGTGGCTGTAGGGCATCCGTTTCCCTCCCCAGGCCCTCTTGCTGCAGGCGCTGCTAAGGATTGGCCGAGGAGGCCGGTGCCAGCTACCTGGGTCCCACCTGGACCAGCACTGCTGCCCAAGCCGTCAACCCCTCCCTGCCACACCCAGAGTCACCGCTAACAGGTCTCCCCGACCTACCTGGAGTCCCCAAATCCTCCTCCTCCTGCAGCTTATGCATGTGCCCCCAGAGTTCTTCCTTTTCCACACGCCTCCGTCCAGGACTCTGCACCCCCTTCACTATCCAGAGATCTTTCCCCCCTTTGGGGCAAGACGATCCCCGCCATTTCCCCGTCTGGGCAGGCAAGCGCTCTCCTCCCTCGGCCCTTTTGTATGCCAAGGAGGCATCTCTCCCGTCCCTTCTGGGAAATGTCCCAAGGTCCCTCTTCGCCCTGAGCCCCATGTGGCCTCCCACGGCACAAAGCACCCCCGCGCCCCTCCCCTGCCCGCCCGCCCTCCCTCTGCCCCCTGCCCTGCCCGGGGCAGATGCTGGCTCGATCCTGACCCACGACAACCACGTCTCCCCTTTCTCTCTCTCTCTCTCACACACACACGCGCGCGCACGCCCTGGTTGAGCTCCTTCTCTCACACTTACCTTCCACCCTTTTACTGTGCTACCAACTGAAAAAGGCCAAAAAAAAGCAAAGCAAACAAAAAGAATGGACAGAAAGAAAGAAACCTATTAACCCAAGGAGACAAAACTTAAGGGGGGAGGGGGGCAAAGATGAGGAACTGACTCGGCCCACCTCCACCCTCACAAGAGCATGTGCTCCCCCCATGATGTATAATAATTACCTTCAAGGATGAATGGACAGATTCCCGAACTGTTGATGGATTTGAACGACTTGAACAGCAACCAAACAGGGAAAGAAAGACGCACCCTCTCTCTTCTTTCCCACCATTTTTTCTCTCTCTCTCTCCTCCTCCTCCTCCTCCTCCTCCCCGTTGGGTCTTTACCTGCACCGGGGAACCAAATAAAACCGACAACCTCACTGTCTTTTTCCTCCTGATAGACGTGACTTCCGTCTCTGCGCGGGAAACGACACAAATCCTATTCCGATGGCTTTAAAAAGAAAAAAAAGAAAAGAAGTAGAAAAAAAAGCAGAAGGATCCTTCCGTCAGAAGCACAGACCATGTGCCGAGTGCCGACGTCCTTGCAAAAAAAAGAAAAAGAGAAAAAAAAAAGAAAAAACACAAACCCTCTTTATGAATCCAAAGCTCTTAAAAACTTCTATACAATAACCAAAAAGAAAAAAGAAAACCAACAGTGAGAGAGAGAATACCCACCAACAAAAAGAATAATAGAAAGCAAACTGGAAATAATTTTTTTTAAAGACATAAGATGAAGAAAAAAGTTACGCCCTCACATTTCCCCTTCCTCTTTGTGTCAGTTCTTTTGGGGTTCTTTTCTTGTTCTTTTCATTCCTGCTACGTGTTTTTTACACCCACCCAACCAACAAAGATGGACATGAATTTTAAGAAGTTGATGAAAGTGGAAACCTGTGGGGTAGAGAAGGGGATGCAAAGAGTCCCCAAACACACATAACCAAACAAACTATAGGTGGGGGTGTTAAGGAGGGATGGGTTGAAACAGGGGCTCACCTGTGGCCCCCTTGTTTTCCTCAGACCCCTCTTCTCCCCCTAACTCTACACCCCAGAATGGGGGAAATGTCTTTCTGTTGTGTATTTAAAGGGGGGGATGGGGAACGATAAAAAATAAAAAGAAATAAAAATTATATTAAAGAGATGACCTGAAAAAATACAAACCGTGCTTTTGGCAGGAGGTACTGGCTGGGCTATAAATATCGGGAATGAGGGGGATAGCAGAAGTAAGAATTATATTGATCTTGCTGCTCTTGTGGATTACTCATCAAGGCACCTACGTTAACCGGCCGCAGTTACTCAGTTACAGTTCATTAGCTGGGATGAACCCGGTTTTGCTTTCCTTACCCTAAAACTTCCTGTGCCTTTACGTCCGCATGCAACCAACACTGCCGTGTTTAAAAATGTGTTTTGATCTTTGATTGCACTGCATAGATTGAAAGAAGAGTCCCTAAACCGCCGGCACGCTGCATCCATCAGCTAGTATTAGATGCAGTTTGCAATTTACTGCAAGTCGGAGCTCGGAGAATTTTAAGTCTTGTGGATACAAAACCCAAGACAAAATTGTGGGGTAGCAGGAGTCCTGAACTGCCAGCCCTTCATTACGACAACGTAGCTGTACTCTCAAAGCAAAATATGTCACAACACTTCTTGCTTTAAAACCCCTGGAACAAGCAATGCTCACGGAAGGAAAACTAATGTTTTTCAGTCCAGTTCAGTTTCAAGGCAGGCGATCCCAGTATTTTCAAACAACTGATTTAGCTAAGAGAAAAAGCCAACAGCAAAGAAATTCAAAATGGCAAGTGGCCAAAATGGTGAACCGTTCTGTGGTCCAGATAATACTCCCACCCTTTATTTTTTATGCAATCCGCTGCAGCATAGACTTTTTAGAAAGAAATACCGGCTCAAGGTTTCTTGTGCTGAGCTCTCTGGTCTTGCATTTCTAGCTATTTGATCAATCTATATTTCTATACTGCCTCATAGCCAACCCCCTCTGAAAATTTCACCAAAATTAAACTCAAAACTCACACTGCAACGTGACCGAGGAAGCGAGGTCAGGAAGGGAGCAGCTGATGTGATTTGCCACGCCGAGGTCCAGCACGAACGATGCTTAACCTCGCCACAACATAAATCCTCCGAGGCGCCCTTTGGATTTTTGTCTCATGCGAGCAAACGGTCGTTTGCTAAACCCCGGGATCCTGGTATGATGAGCGCACTGGCCAATTCTTCCCCCCTAAATAAGGAGGGCAGATGCGGTTGCGCAGGTGTGAGCGTGTCCCCCGCGAGGGCCGCTGCCACAGGCGCCCGTGTGGCATTTCGCACCGCTCGGTGCACGCTGGCCCTACCGGCCAACCCCACCCCCTTCTGCACTCCTATCTCCCGCCGTTCACTTCCGCCCAAGAAGAATGTGCAAGTGTTCTCGCTTGTTCTTGGGCCCCCGTACCTTTTTGGGGAAAGGTAGGGGGGTTTCTGCAGTTTTTGCTCTGTGATTCTCCCACTGGGGAAAAGCCAGGCCTGGTTTCCAAAGCTCTCCTGCTAGGGAAAGGGGTGCCATTTTGGTTATGCCAGGACATGGCGTTAGAAACCGAATTTGGACACTTTTAGAGTTGGGGCAGATCCCATCGAAGTCCACAAAGGCTACCGAGCCTAGTAGACTAAAGACTTAGCCCTAGAATGGGGGAGGCCTGCGTTTTAATCCCCCCCCCAACAACCATAAATTCAATGGAAAACCATTAGTACATCCCCTATTCCGCCTTCCATAGGGAGTGGGACCCACAACATCTTCGCTAGTCCAGTGGTGCCCACATCCCTCCTCTGTGATATTCCCACACCACCTATAGCCTTGCTGTGCCCAACCCATAATTTTTGAAGGTAGGAGAAGGAATAAAACATGTCCAATGGATGCTGGATTAAGACCCATCAGCAAACCCCCCATGTGGCAAATCCCCATAAAATGCCTCTCTTTCTCTCATGCATCTTTTAGCTCAGCAATTAATATAAACTAAGAGAAATACAGGCACAGATATAACATTCTGGACAATAGACAGCTAGAAAGTTCGGAGGGTTTATGGAGAAGGCTGTCTAGCTTGGGGTTTCGGTTTTGGACAGTGTCGGGATTCTGTTTTATAAAGTGATTTCTAGTCCTCATGGAATTGTGTCCTGTTATAGAAGCCAAATGCTCAAACAAAAAAGAATTTTGCACCTGTGCGCAGGCAGGTGGAAAGCAAAGGGGAGGGAGAAGAGCTCAGGGTGCTGTGCAGACGAGGACAAGATCCTGTTTCTCCTCTGCTTGTGGCAACTTCTTCCAAAGGGAGTAAAGGCAAGAAGGACTTGCATTTTTATCCCGATGGAGACAGAATGAGGCTTTCCCTTTGTCCACATGTGCTTTCTTTTCAAAGGAAACAAACCACATTTTAAACAGCCAGAAGCCACACTTGGTACGGACCTTCCTAGAATGTAGCATTTCAAACAGATATATTTGGAAGGTTCCAATGCAAAAACAACCCCCCCCCCCCCACACACACACACACACAACTCCCTGTTCACAAAAAACTAGTGTGCCAGAGGAAAAGTTCCCAGCCTAACCACTCCTTGCCTTACTTGGTCCCATCCTGCTCCACCCTATCAGTGGTGCACAATGGTACACTCCAGAACAGATGTCACCACACACAATTTCTCCACTTTTGAATCGGCTTGGTGGCATTTATGCTTCTCTCCATTTCAGCATTCTCCCAGGGCCAAACTGCGGCCCTGGAAAACAGGTTTTGGAGGTAAACCAGTGTCCCGCTCTGGCTCAAATCAAGCCCCACCTCTTAGTAATGGGAAATTTATTTTTTGCCCCTCCAAAACAAAAAGCTATATGTCAGCTCCTTACTGACAAATCCTTTAAGACCCTTCATGCACATCAGTGCCAAGAAAATAGACCAATTTCTCTCCAGTTCCCGTACAAAAGCTCCTCTCTTGCACATTTCACATTAGGGGGATATTGCAAAATCATTACCAGCAATGATTAGCAAAAATATTTTGCCACTTACACAGGACTGATTAAACTCTTCTTAATGCAACATAAGCCAATCAACACGATAATCAGCCCTCTTCAGCTAGAACGGTCTAGCAGCGAACATACCCAGCTTTCCATACGTAGGAATAAATCTCAGTTTGATTCCGAGACGCCTTCTAAAGGACATCTGGAGGTGTCAGAGTCGGACAGGCATTACACCACCCAAAATGCCCGCTGGCACCCCTAGCCACAAGCTCTGCAAAGCCCCCTAATGGGGGGGGGTATCGAAGGCTGCCCCACAGGGGTGAGAATTGTCCCCCCATCTAAACTCTCCCCCAGCTTCAAACTGTATAGACCGCGAAATCATGAGCCAGTCAGAGATGCCAGCCCTCAAGATGCTACAGCAAACTGCAACCACATGGGCGAATTTATATTAATTAAAATAAATCAATGCAGCTGAAAAAACAAAATAACCCAGAAGTCCCCCTAGTAGACACGCCAAGTTTCAGATGGCTAGGTTTCCGGGTCTTTTGGTACAGACAAATGTATGGTATGGCTGTTATGGTACAGACAAACATAAACACATCCTCCTTTTCTTCATATATTCTCATTCACATGCACAGTTCACCTGCACTCCAGGTCTGAGCCAGATCAAAACTTAACCGAGTAGCCCATTTTATCACAAAGATGCCTGGGGAATTAATCTTGTGAAGATGATCCAGGACCACGGAATAGATTTGAAGTGGCTCCAACATCTGCAACGCAGGCATTTCCTTCCCTCACAGAACCAGGCCCTGAAAATGCTTGCACCAAGCTACTGTTTTGCAGTACAGACCAAATGCCATTCTTCAGACATCCATTCATTTGCCAGTCAAAGCGACGAAATCATGATTTTCTTTCCAACTATTCCATTCTAAGGGCAGTGTCTTCCAATCTGGGTTTTTGACTACACTTCCCAGCATTCTGTACCTTTGCCTATACTGGATTTTTGGCTGATCCACAAACTATGGTTCAGCAGGTATCCAGACATAACTATATACTTAAGGAAAACCAAGGTATGGTTATGGATTATGTCTGCCCAGAGCCAAACTTTAGACTCTCAGACTTTAATGGTTCAGAGGCTGAGGTCGTAAACTATATAAGAAATAAATACTAAAATGTAAGCCCATTCAGCTCAGTGGAATTTGTTTCTGAGTAGCGCTGCATAAAATAATTCCATAAGAGAGCCGAAGTCCTGCATTTGGGACTCCTCACTGAAAATGCCTCTGTATATTTGCATATTTATTTTAGTTATTTAAACCATTTCCAAACTACCCTTCATCCAAATGGATTCCAGGGCAATGTACAAAGACTTACATAAGAACGACCATGCCAAATAGCATGAATAGCAACGACAACAAACCAGAGGCGGAAAAAGTTATAAAATCTCACCATGCCACTAAGGGGAGACATGAGCTAAAGCTGTCAATGTGCCTTAGCCAATGTGGGCACCAGATTTACTGCTTTTGCGTAGTTGATGGTGCCACTGTAGAGAAGGCCCCGCAAGCTAAGAGCCTGCTGGATCAGTCCAGAGCACTCTCAAGTCCAATGTGGCCAACACCGCGGCCGGCCGGCTGCCCCCGGGAAACAGACAAGCTGGTCACTGAGTGCAACAGCACCAACGGCTGCACCTGCGTACACGGCCTCTGATTCTGGAGGGTAACAGGACCAGCAGCCAACAGGACTAACAGACATTAATACTTCCCCTCCCGTCCAAGTTGGGGGCCACCAGTACATCTCGCGGAAGTGAATTCCATAATTTAACTCTGGGCTAAGTGAAGAGGTCTGTCCTTTTATCGCAATCTTCCACCCATCAGCTTGACAGGATGACCCCGTCGCAGTACTATGAACGGGAGAACAATGTCTCCGTGCCTAGCTTGTCCGCACTGTCTGTCATCGTTCCTCTCCTTGTCTTTTTCCCTAACCTGCACAATCCCAGAGGTCATAACCTTTCCTCGTAGGGAGCTTAGCTCCAATCCCTTGATCATTTCAGCTGCCCTTCTCTGCCCCTTTTCCAACTCTACAAAGTCCTTTTTTAGGTTCAGTGACCCAAGTACAGTTGCAACTAAAGATTTGTGTACCTAATCTACTTTGTCTGGATATGA